CCGCTGGCCGAGAAGCGCCTGAAGGAAGAGATGGACGCAAACCCCGAATTCCGCATATTCCTCGAGGTGCGTAGCGTTTCCTTTGCCTAATTGCGAGATAATAATGACGCTCTTCTGTAGCACTGTTCGCGGCAGTCGTCTCGCGCTGGCGACGCGATGCGCCTCGACCTCAAACACTTCCTGAATAGGCCGGCGGAGCACCTGCAAAAGTACCCCGTGCTGCTCGACGCGATTTACCACGAGACGGCGGAGGGGAACCCGGACGCGGATTATCTGCTCGAGGCCATTGGTGCTATCAAAAACCTGCAGAGCGTCGCGCAGCTGCGGACGTTCCAGTCCGCCATGGGCAAGGGCACGCCGGGCAAGTGGGAGTGGCACGACCTCGTTTCGCCCGAGGTCCGGAAGGCGATGCCGAAAGAGGAGCAGAAGCGCCAGTCGTGCGTTCTTTTCGTAACGCAAGAATCCGCGCGCAGTTCGGTTGACTCTTTTCTAGGATCATATTTGAGCTGATCAAGGGTGAGATGGCGTACGTCAAGGATTTGGAGAATATACAAAATGTGAGGTGGAGAGTATAGCGTGCCGCCTTTTACTGAGCGCGTCCCTTCAGATGTACATCATTCCGCTGCGAGAAGCACGACCGCCCATCATGGCGCCGGAGCGACTGGAACAGTTCATCGAGGACGTGTTCCATAATTTCTCGGACCTGCACGCGCACCACCTGAAGCTCGTGGAGAAGTTCCAGGAGATTCAGCGCGAGCAGCACCCGACCATCCGCAGCGTCACCGCCGCGATGTTTGACGCGGCGCTCAACTTCCGCGACGTGTACATGGAGTACATCCCCAACTATCCGATCGCGGCGTACCGGATCGACGACGAGATGGCCAACAACCCTGATTTCAAGAACTTTGTTGATGTATGTGCTTTTTCGTTATGGTATTGGAGGTGCGCTCAATCTAATGCAGCAATGCGTCCGGCATCCCGACGCGCACCGGCTTGACATGAAGAACTTTATCAATCGGCCAATCCCGAGGCTGCTCCGATACGAGTTACTGCTGAAGGGTATCTTAGACGAGACCCCGAATGGCCACGACGACCGCAAGGAGATTCCGCAGGTGCTCGAGGTGATCAAGGCGCTCGGAAAGGATACCGAGCCGGGTGTGGTGTCAGCGAAGCAAAAGGTGGAGCTTTGGCGGTACAACTCCAACCTCGTATTCAAACCAGGAGAGGGCATCGTGCGTGTCTTGCTTGTTGTGTGATGGTCCATGCTCACCAAGCACAGGACATGGACCTGCTCGACCCGAACCGATCTTTGATATTTGCGGGCAAGGTCCTTCGGCAGCCTGATAATACCATTCCCTCGCTGGAATGGAGCGGGTGGAGCGAGCTGTTTGTGGTGCTGTTTGATAACTACCGTGAGCATGCTGGTTTGTCATTGATGCAAGTCTGAATTGTCCATAGTGGTGATGACCAAGCCCAAGGAGAGGGACGGGGTCACCAAGTACCAAGTCAATCGACGAGTAAGTCTTGGTGCGATATACGTGGTTCGCGCTGACACTATTCTCCAGCCGATTCCTTTAGATCTACTAACGCTAGTCAACTTCACTGATCCGCCAACACAACGTGGTGCTGGCTTACTTCGCAATCTGCGTGGAGAGCGCGGAGACCGTCACGATCCTAACGGTACAGTTGCCTCAGCGACCCCCGACAGCGCCAGCGACTCGCGGGTCGTATATCCCTGGACCATTCACCACAATGGCCGGTTGGGTGGCCCGCACATTCTCTTTTCCGATACGCCGCAGGCGCGCTCGGAGTGGAAGCAAAAGTTGGAAGAGGCGATTGGGATCCGCAAGGTCGTGCAGGAGTCGAACAAGGTGTTTGAGGTCGAAACGTTGAGCGCGGACACTTTCTTGGTGCCTTCGGTCCAAGTGGGTTCGACGTCGCCCCAGTGGAATCAGGACACGTCGTTTACGGGCAAGGTCACTTGCTCCGTTCCCTTCAGTGTGTTGTCTCTCGTCGTGATGCACCGAATGCTGACACCACGCAGATACCTCTGACGGACGCGGCTTGGTCGCCATTGGGTGCGCGGAAGGCGTGTGGATTGGGTTCCGCCACGATCCTAGATGTAGGTCTTGCAGTTTCGCGGATCCTTCTCGCGCTCATCATCCTGCAGCTATGCGCCGTGTTTTGCATCTCAAAATGGTGACTCAGTGTGCGATGCTCGACGAGTTTGGCATCTTCCTCGTTTTGGCCGACAAAGTGCGCTTGGAATCATTGTGATCGGTGGTGTCTGACATTGTGTCCAGTCATTGTTCGCCTACCACATCGAGGCGTTGGTGCCCTCTTCCCCGCAGGGCACGCACACGTCGCAGGTGCCGCAGAAATTGAATGGGACCAAAGACGTGCACTTTTTCAGCGTCGGCACCCTCCACAACCGGACGCTTGTCATCTATATGAAGAAGAAGGGGGTATGTGCAAACGGGCTTTGGACGTGCTAGAGGCTCACAGCTTTTCCCAGCTGGACAGCATTTTCCGTGTCCTGGAGCCCGTGGGGGACAAGATCAACGAAAAGGTCAAGGCTCCTGCCGGCTTGGGCTCGCGTCTCGGCTTCCGGTCAACGAAGTCGGAATGGTTCCGGATCTACAGAGTGGGTGCTGCTTTATGAAACAATGCACATACTAATGAGCGTATAGGACTTTTTCTTGCCATCTGAATCATTCGACCTGTATTTCCTCAAGGCCAAGATTGTCATCCTTTGCACCAAGGGCTTTGAGATTATGGATCTCAATGAGTGGGTTGCTAGAATGCTACGTGACTTTCTTCTGACACTGTCGCAGCTTCAAAAGCGTCACCATCCCGCTACGAGATGATGCAAGGTTTGCTGCATTATCGAAGCGATGTGATGCATGTCGTCCCATTGGAATGTTCCGGTCAAACGAAGACGGATTCCTGTTGTGCTACAACGGTGCGTTGGACATAAAATTATGAGTGCAAGGTCTCACGTACCACGACAGAATTCGGAGTCTACGTTGACAAACACGGAGATCCGCGACGTGGGGGAGCTACCATTGAATGGGAGGGCAATGCCGAGAGAGTCGCCCTCCACCAGCCCTACATCCTCCTCTTTGACTCGCGGTTCATCGAGATCCGGAACATTGAGACTGGACGCTTGGTGCAGATCATCCCGGGCAATGATATCCGTTGCCTCTGGGATGGTCGGGGAGTTGGCTCAACCATTGTGGCAACACCGGGCCCCGATGGGGAGCCCACTGTGCAAGACGCACAGGTGCATGCTGTCATGAGCGCCGTGGACCCAATGCAGCCCGGAGGCCGGCCTTCGCGAGCTGTTGCCCAGCACGTCTTTGAGCTCATCCCCACCGTCCCACTCTTCTTGCCGGAGCCGGCGCCTCCTCCTCTTCCCCCTCTTGCGGCTTCACACTCCGGGTACTTTGCCCGACCTGGTCCTCCACCTTCGCAATCGCAGTATCTCAGTCGAAATTCGTCCTATTCCCCACCCCAATCACCCGTCCGAGCGTCTGGATCTAGCTGGAGATGAACGTGTAATGAAATCTTTGTACATTATACCATATGCCCTTCGTAGTTTGTATACTGTACATACGGAAAACCGGGGGTTCCCAAGGACGTTGTTGAATGTCGGTATGAGACGCTCTTAATGTAGGATGTTTTTTTTTTTTTTGATTCTTTGGACCTTGGTTCCCTCGTCAGCATGTCTGGCGGGGAAACACATATTTTCCTATCAGTGCGCCTTTGCGGCCCATGCATACTCGATTCTCTCGGTCAACTTCAACACCCCATCGCCGTGGAGTGGTTTTCAGGCGGTGAGGTAGAAAAATGGAATAAAAACATGGATGGCCAAGGGACACGTTCCTGAAGATCGGCTTGTCGCCAATCACGGTGTATGTGTTCTACAGCTCCCAAATACAGGTCTAATTTGCTTATCTCGTGGCAGGCCCTTATAGGTTTGCAAGACCTCAGTCACGCTCAGCGATACGAACATTTCATATTAGAGCAAATGAATGTCATCGCCTTCGGCCTGGACTGGGAGGCCCTGGACAGGACAGGAGCGAAAACAGCTTTTTATCATCGCGTCTACCGAGAACTACCCGCAAACGTCGGGATCTTCGAGAAGCTCAACGCAAACTTGAAGCAGGCGAACTTAAGAAGGAGATGAAAAGCAGAAAAAGAGTTTCGCCAGTGGTACTGTCTACATATGGAGGATCAGATCTGGGCGCGTTCGCGGCTGGTGCAACTGTACAAGGCGGTGAGTCTTCTTCCCTTTTTATCTCTGAGATCCCCTAGTCTGAAAGGTATACCAGTTCGGACCGCCGATCTTGATGGACACTTTTTGGCGTCTTTCCAATATGGGACGAAAGATGCGCACACCGCAGTTCAAGGCATTGCTTGAGCTTCTTATCGAAGACATGCCGGTGGATCCGTTGGAAGAAGAGGACGTGAACGTGGTGCGGAGTAGGAAATCGAGTTCCAAGCGCGCACTCCTAGGTGTCGCCGCCGCGGTGGATCACAGATTGTACAAGTCCCTTTTGGCCTAGCTCAAGGCCAATCCCGACGACATCGAGCCCTACAAGCCCTACAAGATGGTGCCTTTGCAGGAGTCGGCGCCTGCGTCTTGATTCTCGATTCTTTGTGTTGTATTGGTACTTTGGTTCTGCGAGTGTTGGCAGCAGATTGCTTCCCTCTTGTTGTGTATTCATAAGATATTTGTATTCTATAGCTGCACCACCAACACGGTTACACCTGCCCTTGGACTCTTGAGGCGAATTTCATTCTTGGGACTCCGCGAGAAGAAAAAAAGTTTGTCATGGTTTCAAGGAAGTCTCGTAAAATGAGCCGCCCGTGGCCGGCTAGTTTATCGATGTTAATCGTCGAACGTCATCAGCCGTGTCGATAAGTGGTCAGTGAGGAGTGGGTTTATTCTGAGGATGTGCGCTCGTTACCAAAAAAAAACGAAAAAGTATGATGAGCTGCCCCTGCAAGGTTCGAACTTGCGATCTCACGATTGGATGTTGTAACAGTCGTGCGCCTTCACCAACTGGGCCAAGGGGCAGATGAAGGGGAGATAGAAGAGGGGTACATGAACGGAACATAGAAGAGAGGGTCAAGGAGGGAAGTCACAATCGGACCCAAGACCGTCGACAACGTCGTCGTGCGCTTAACCAACTGGGCCAGGGGGCACTTTTATGAAGGGGAGATGGAAGAGGGGTACATGAACGGAACATAGAAGAGGAGTCGGAAGAGGTCACAATCGGACCCAAGCAAGGATAGTGGAGGGAAGACGGAAGAGGAAGGCCACAATCGAACGGAGCGTCAGGCAAACCGGCCCAGGGATCCATGGGAAGGATACTGCGGGTTCAAAGTTGCATTGAGGACCGCTTGAAGAAGGGGACTCGGCAGATTGGACAAACCGTCCCATAGATCCATGGGAAGGATACTGAGGGGATCCATGGAGAGATCTTTCGAGGTTTTATAGAGGGAGGCGAAAGAAGCTGGTCGAAGAAAATCATCCCATGGATCCATGGGAAGGAATGCTGCAGGATCTCTCGAGGTACGAGCCATTCCAGAACACCGCAAACGAGTCATCGAGTCGGTGACGATTGCCGGAATGTGACGAGGTCGCCATAGAACACTGGAAGTTTGAACGGTGGCGTGTTCGCAAGTGGTACAAATTCAGACTGGACGTAGTTTGTACGGGAAGTGGAAAACCCCGGATTTGAACGGAGTGGGCGCAATCCGTGCAAGAAGGAAGGAGGCCAGAGTGGCAGTGTTATATCAGCACGCTTTCAAAGCCGGTACCGAAACAATAAACTAAAGATTCGCGCAACGCCAACACGGGACACTGCACTTTCTGTTGTGAATCGACGATGCAACGAATCGTAGTATTACTGATACACATATAATATAAAATCCATCGCAAAGTCTACGCGGGCGCTGTGGACACGGTTAGCTGGCGTGAATGGAAAAACCAAAGCTTACCCTTTTTCCTCCGCGTTCTTGTGGGAGCTGGTGGTGGTGCTTGATGGGTAGCAATGAGCTTAGTATATACATAGCGCCGAATAAACTCCGGGGGAAGATCGTAGACGGTCTCGACAAAGTGAGACATGGTCGTACCGCAATCACGATCGCCGCCTGCAGAGCGCTTGCCCGTGACGCGGCGCCCAGTAACGGGGTCAATCGGGCGTGCGCATTCCGTACCGAGGCAGGTGTGGCCAAAGTAGCCGTTTCGGTAATACATCATCTGAACGACTATCTTCAGATTTGTCGTTATACTGGAGAGGCTGGACAACGAGCCTACCGTTTCGGATTGGATGCAAGTTGAAGTGGTCGTGTGCGCAGTTGACGACATATTCTGTAACGAGGTTAAAAAAGTCCACAGTCTCCCTTGTTGGACGCTCACGATTTTCCAACCACGAATCTACCGTTCGCACCCAGGCCAAAGACCTGTGCGCCGAGGTGCGGGGCCACAAGTCGGGCGGGCATCTTGACAGCGACGCCGCCATCGAACCCAGCGCCATGGCGACTTGTATTCTGCCAAACTTGACAGAATCGGTGCGCCCTCGGTCTACCCATATGGTTCCGCGCAGGGACGAGCAGTCGAGCCCCGGGAAAATCTGGAGCGCCATCGCTGTGTTTGCCGGGATCGCAAACACCGCGGCGATGTCGACGGGAGAGACCAGGTCGTCAAAGACCGGTACAAGCGGGGCCAAATCAGGGTCTCCGAGGATGTGGTATACGATGCGGCGCAGTCCAGGGAACTCTCGATCATTGACCCGTTGCAACTCGGTCTCCCCAGCGCATGTATGGGTTGAGTTGGTATCGACGGCGATGACGAGCTGAAAGCATTGGTCACAAACACACCATCGCCAGGTGTCGAGCGTCGACAAGCTGCCCGAATCGGCTTTCCGTCGCGGAGGCGGACAGTCGATCGGGTCCCCGATGTTGGATAGGATGTGTCGCAAGAAATTAGAGGGGATTCCAAAGTATTGGGCCCTTTCAAGCGCGCTGACAGTAGTTTTGAGCCCGGTCGTCTGGCCGCCCTTGCGATGCGCTTCCGTGTTGCTGGAGAACGCTGCGTGCACGCGCAGCGTGTTCTCGTTTGCCTCTTGCGAATTTCCCCAGACACGGGCAGAGCAAGATATCCGAATATTCGAGGGTAGATTCAAAAACCACTCCCTAAACTCGGGAGACCCCACCTTGCCGCGAAAGTGAAGCGGTATCAAGGAGAATGCTTGCTCAGAGAATCCGCCTCTGGTGAGATCTGTCAGGAATTTCAGAAGGAAGTCGTACTGAGCCAGCCTTGCGGGTCCAGAAGCTGATGTACGGGTAATTCCGGGGATCTCGTAAGGGTCGGTCCGGGTGACGGGGCGAGTTGGCGGCGCGGATTCCGTAGCTGCTCCAGGTGCCGCGCCACTCCAGACTCAAGACGATATCTCGCTTTCAAGTCCTCGAGGACCGTGCGAAGGCCCCTCTGCGCGACCTCGACCTCCACTCGTCCAAGAAGCTCTCCCAAGTAAGGCCAGAGGTTCTCCGCGTCCTTGCGAGGTCCTTCGTCGTGAAGGCCTTGAACGCACGCGTAGCAGATGAAGGCGGGGGATGAAGGGGACCCAAGATGAGAGCAGGAAGAGCAGGAATATACACCAGAAGGTGGGGAAGAAGATACATGGCAGCAAACAGATGGTGCTGGGTCGGAAAGCAAGAGCGGCGTCGTGCGCTTAACCAAACGGAAGTAAGACCGACTCTATTCCAAACAAGCAGACGTCAGTGAACCCAAAACAAACCATCCTGTGGATCCTTGGGAAGCGTGGTGGTCCTCCAAGGATCCTCAGGTTATTCCTGGCCTCAAACCGCCTTGCCGCAGTTATGGCACTTTCCCTCGACGCAAAGTCGGCAACTGGAAAAAGATAGATTTACAACCACGTCTAATCCGACGGATAGATGAAATAACATAATGTGGACGATGTATCGAATCAGGGTCAAGCCGCATAATCTGAAAAGTAAGGGTGAATCAGTGCGCGCTTTGCAGAAATACGTTTGGCCGGATTGTATGTCAGCGTGGCCTGCATGGTAAGTATGTCAGCATGCAATCGACCGGAGGCGAAGGAATAAACCGCATGCCTGAAGAAGATCGATACCATCCGCGTCGAGCACTGGGACCACCCGCGCGAGCTCTTGCGAAGACCATTGTGGGAACGTGGTCTTGTAGTCGGAGAGGCCCTGGACGCCGGGCCAGTTCTCCTCATTCGGTGTTCCGAGGATCCTGCACCGGTAGTGTGAATGGCGTTCCGCGGGGGCAGCACGCCACGCACCTGAATATCTTGAAGATTTGGTCGATTTCCGAGTCGCCGGCGAACAAGGGCTGTCCGTGCATCGCCATCTCCGCATAGATGCATCCAACGGACCACATGTCGATCCCGGTCGCGTAGTGGCGCGAGCCGAGGAGGACCTCTGGCGCACGGTACCAGAGGGTCACGACCTGCAGAAAGAGCCATGTAGTTACACAGCCAAAACGACAGAAGTCACGCGTACCTCGTGCGTATAGGTTCTCATAGGGAGCCCGAACGCTCTCGCCAGTCCGAAATCCGCCAGCTTCAGATTGTTGTGCTTGTCGATGAGAAGATTCTGGGGCTTGAGATCGCGGTGGAGGATACGGCGCGAATGGCAGTATACCAGACCGAGATTCAGCTGGTGCGTGAATTTCTAGAGGAATCAAGCCGGTGCGTCAGATGAAAACGCGTCTCAGAATCCAAAAACGCGAATGACGCGTCGCAAAGCGGGATAGCGTTAAACCACGTGACCGATGAAACGGGCCATAGAGCGCGCCCGAACACGCTTCGTCTCGTATAACGTGTTTTGACGCGTCGATGGAGTGAAAACTCAAAATGAGTGGCACCAGAAGAACGCACCTTGACCAATGCAGGCGAAATTGGAGAATTCTCCCGATTCCCCTCCTCCATGAACCGCTTCAGATCCATCTCGAGGTATTCAAAGACAAGGTACAGTTTCTGATCAGCATGAACAATGTTGAAGAGTCTTGGTACATAAATTGCCGTCAGCAACGGTGCGAACGACGATAAACGGGTCACACACCTGACGATGTTGTCGTCTTCGAGCTCCTTGAGCAGACTGATCTCGCGAATGGCAGTACTCGGAACGCCCTCGTCCTCTGCTTCAAGCCGAATCTTCTTCAGTGCGACAATGTTGTTGGTGGTCTTGTCGAGAGCCTTGTACACCACGCCATACGTTCCTGAGGTGAGGCGGTGGAGTGAATATGACGCGACTTGGAAGCGAAACAACGGGCGTAGCACCTTCGCCTGAAAGATAGGATTGAATGCTGAGGCTTTCCGGCGAAAACAGGGACAGCGCGCACCAATTTTTTCGATTCTTTCGTACCTGACGAGCGAGGCACTCAACATGCGGCCACTGCATGGAAAGTGGAGTTCTTACCTTTCCATTGGAGATTAGGGTCAGCGTAGCACTTATTACCTAGTATATGGCCGGAGACGCGCAAAAAGTGAGCGCGAGCGAGTACCTGGCGGAAGGTTGGTTGGAGGTGTGGGAGAGGCCTTGATGTGGCTGTGCTGTCAAAATGCCGCACGCCAAATCTTTCTTTCTATGCTACTCGAGCCACACTCTCAGGATTTATGTATTCTTTTATTGTACACTATCAGTTGCATGCTAGCATAGACTATCCCGGTCGTGGCCAGCTAATATCTTCGTCGGGATGTCTTCTGGGTCGCGTTACATCGATATACTGTCCCGGCCAGGGCTCATCGCCTTGAATCGACTCATTGTCAGCGTTTCACATGCGGATGCACGAAACCAACTCACTCCGATCGATGATATCGATATCATCTCCGCCCTCTTCGTCCTCATTGTCGTCCTCATCCCAACGATCGTGAGCAAATGCGGCAGGATTCGCTTCCCGATCCACGGCAAGATCTTTCATGAGTCGGTTCATCGAGTCGTCCTTGACGTCCTGGAGAGACTTGTCTCGCGCCTGCCGTGCACGCTCGAGCTCGGGAAGGTAGTCCCTGAGACAACGTGTAAAGT